CAAGCAACATAAATAAAAAGTGTTTCTGCCAGTTCATTCCCTGTGGGCTCACCTTTGGGACTAGACACATATTCCTTTCTATTCCATGGTTTTCATCTCCCTTAGAATTAACATCCTTCCCCCCAACACTGGAAATGACCCCTCTTGCAGGGCACGTCTCAGGAACCACCTCATGAATCTCCAAGCTTCTGAGGGACACTGGGTTTCCAGTGTTAGACTTAGACATTTGGTTTTGTCCCCTAACCATCTTTATTCAACCAAAATGAGCTCTTTTTTTTTTTTTTTTTTTTGAGACGGAGTAGTGCTCTGTCGCCCAGGCTGGAGTGCAGTGGGGTGATCTCCGCTCACTGCAAGCTCCGCCTCCTGGGTTCACGACATTCTCCTGCCTCAGCCTCCCAAGTAGCTGGGACTACAGGTGCTACCCGCCACCATGCCTGGTTATTTTTTTTGTTTTTTTTTGTTTTTTTAAGTAGAGACGGAGTTTCATCGTGTTAGCCAGGATGGTCTTGATCTACTGACCTCATGATCCTCCCACCTCGGCCTCCCAAAGTGCTGGGATTACAGGCTTGAGCCACCGCGCCCGGCCCAAAATGAGCTCTTAAATGCGGCTTTATCCTGGCTTCTGTTTTGGATGCTGGAGAAAGATTCTGGAGAAAAATTAATGGACCATTTCCCTTGGTAGAGAGTAAAAAAGACTCGTTTTGGCTGCAGAGTTTTCTTGTCTCAGGTTCTCCAAGTTCAGTTATTTGGTTTCTTCATCTGGGTGGGCTAAACACATTCATATCTTTTAATCCACATGATCTAATTTTTTGGGCTATATTCCTATGTATGTTATTCGCAGCATTTCTTTCCAATGGGAAGGAATTTGGATACAAAATAATCAGTACCTGACGGTGACTAAGAGCATGCACTGGCAAACATTTTTGTAAAGGGCTCAATGGTACATATGTCAGGCTTTTTGGGTCCTGTGTTCTCTGTCACAATACTTAACTCTGCCAGTGCTGTGAACGCAGGTGTATGCAATACTGACACAAATGGGCATGGTGGTGTGTATTAGCCTCCTGTGGCTGCTGCCACATACAACCACAAACTGGGTAGCTGAAAACAATAGGAATTTTTATTCTCTTAGAGTTCTGGAGTCCAGAAGTCCAAAATCAAGGTGCAAGAAGTGCCAGGCTTCCTCCAGAGTCTCTAAGGGTGATTCTGTTCCTCAACTTTTCCATGTTCTAGTGGTTCCAGGTGTTCCCGACCTTGCAGCTGCATCGTTCCAATCTCTCTCTCTCTCTCTGTGTCATTTGTTTTCCTCTGCACCTGTGTGTGTTTTCTGCTGTGCATGTCGCTTATAAAGACACTTGTCACTGAATTTAAGGTCCACTTGGATAATCCAGGATGATCTCACCTCAACATACCTAATTGCATCTGTAAAGACCTTTTGTCCAAAAAAGGTTACATTCATTGGTACTGGGGGTGAGGATGTGAGCTGATCCTTTAGCGGGGCCAACATTCAACTCACCAAACTTAATGTGCTCCAATAAAGCCTTTTTACAAAAGCAGGCTGTGGGTAGGATTTGGCCTGTGGGCAGTAGTTTGCTGACCCCCAACTTAGAGGGTAGATTCAGACATAGGGAGCTGATAATCACAGAGGACACTAAAATTTAAAGAAAAGTTAAATAAGGCTTCATTTCTGTTACCGTAATTCACCGATTAAAAGGACTGTCAGACTATCTACCATACTCTAATCTTTTATTATGCAAGCAGGTCTCTGCCTGAGCTGTGCCATGTTGCCTGTTTCTTTACTGTACATGTGGTAAAAAAAAGAAAAGGGTAGACAGAACTTCCATGTTGAACATGACTGGCCCCGAGGTAACCCTTTTCTATTGGCGCAGCTGCCGGCATCCCCCCGTGCAAACTTTCAGCTTGCTTACCTATGTTTGCAGCTTGACTTTTCAGGCTGCTCTTTGTTAGAAAAAAAATAATTTCTTGGGTTGCTTTTTGTTAAAAGGGAAGCTCTTCTGAGGACTCTTGCCCTCACTATCTGCCTAAATAATTTCTTTCTACCTGAGGCCGAGACGGTGGATCACTTGAGGTCAGGAGTTCAAGACCAGCCTTGCCAACATGGTGAAACCCCATCCCTACTGAAAATACAAAAAATTAGCCAGGCATAGTGGTGCACGCCTGTAGTCCCAGCTACTTGGAAGGCTGAAGCGGGAGAATCGCTTAAACCTGGGAGGTGGAGGCTGCAGTGAATTGCACCACTGCACTCCAGTACTCCAGCTTGGGTGACAGAGCAAGACTCCATCAAAAAAAAAAAAAAAAAAGAAAAGGAAAGAAAAGAAAAGAAAAAGCTATCCTAGTGTCCAAACCAGAAAACATTTACAAGAAAGGAAATCTGCAAACCAATATCCCCCATGAACACAGATGCAGAAATTCTCAACAAAATTAACAAATTCAATCCACAATGTACAAAAATAATTATACACTGTATTAGTCCATTTTCATACAGCTATAAAGACTCCACCCGATACTGGGTAATTTATAAACAAAAAAGGTTTAATTGCCTCACAGGTCCTCATGACTGCAGAGGCCTAAAGGGGAAGCAAGGCACATCTTCACAAGGCAGCAGGAAAGAAAGAGAGATAGAGAGCGAGAGCGAGAGCGAGAGCGAGAGCGAGCGAGAGAGAGAGAGAGGGAGAGAAGGGGGGGGCATGCTAGACACTTATCAAACAGCCAGATCTCGCGAGAACTCACTCACTATGGCAAGAACAGCAGGGAAATCGGCCCCTGTGATACAATCACCTCCCACCAGGTCCCTTCCTTGACACACGGGGATTACAATTGGAGATGAGATTTGGGTAGGGACACAGAGTCAAACCATATTGTACACCACGACCAACAGGATTTATGTCCACGACCAACAGGATTTATGTTAGGTCAGTCTCTTTAATAAATGCCATTGGGAAAATTTGATATCTGCATGTCTAAGAATGAAATTGGATCTATTTCACACCATATACAAAATTCACTCAAAATGGATTAAAGACTTAAATATAAGACCCGAAACTGTAACACTACTAGATGAAAACATAGTGGAAAGACTGCATGACATTGGTCTGGGCAAACATTTTTTGGAATGCTAACTGACCCCCAGCAGCCATAACTACAGCTTTGATTGGACAAGTGACTGATTTGGGCAACTTTCTCCTGATAACAGTATCATTGACTATGGACTGGCTCTGGCTGGTTTATACAGGCTGCTCACTTGCGTGCCTTTCTGTTCTGGAAAGACCTTTTGAGGGATAGGGTCTACTTGTAATACATTTCAATGTTAAAGTCTCCACTCCAAAGTGGGCATGGGTTGTACGTTGCATGAGTGTTTGTTTCATACACTAAAAATACAAAAAAATTAGCTGGGCATGGTGCCAGGCGCCTGTAGTCCCAGCTACTTGGGAGGCTGAGGCAGGAGAATGGCATGAACCCGGGAGGTGGAGCTTGCAGTGAGCCAAGATTGCACCACTGCACTCCAGCCTGGGCGACACAGCAAGACTCTGTCTCAAAAAAAAAAAAAAAAAAAAATTGAGATTCCATCACTTTTCTTGAGCTTCCTCTCTCAAATTGTCCTTGCTGTCCAAAGTTCAAGAACTTGATTTGGGTAGCCCTATGGACTGAATATTTTTGTTCCTTCCAGAATTCATGTATCCCAAATTCCCAAAGTTAAGACTTCTCCACATGTCTCCTATGTAATTAACAAAAAGCATGACATTAAACCATTTACTATTAGGATGACTTGTTATGCAGCAGTAGCTTACTAATACAATAATCAATGTAAATGGAACTAAAGAGATTCAGAATAATCTGCTGTTTCTTGGTTCTGGACCTTTGTTCTGTTATTTGAAGGAAACGTTCATGATTACCTGGTTATTCATATTTATTTCAGATAACTGTATTAAAATGAGACTGCCTATTAGATTATCTTCAGGTAGCTAGGAGAGGTTGAAAGTAAATATGTTCGGAAAACTCTGACTTTTTTTCACATGCTAATCCACCAGGTTACTTTTGAGTAACCCTGAGTCCAGAAAAGCCTCCAAAAATATCTAGTTGATGGATTACTCTTTTTAAAGAAATGTGTCCACAGTAATTTTTGCCTTTCCTCCAAAACAACACTTGGTGTTCTTCCATACATCATAGTCTATGATGCTTGTAGCTGCTTACACATTCCTTCCAGAGCACATATAATGTTTCCTCCAAGATACAAGCCCTGGGTCTGGGTGGTGGAGCTGTGGAGATCCACTTGTCCTGCGGCCACCTAAGACCATGCTTCTGTCTGTAAGTTTCCCTGGGAAATTACCCTAACCAACAAACTGGCTTGTCTGTGTTGTCCTTTGGCTTCTCAGATCCTTCCGCACTTGGGAACTGCTTTGCATATATAGTCCTTTCATGGAACAACACATATGTCTTTGAAGGAAAGAACTATGACCTTCAATCACAAGTGTCTATTCCCAGAGGCAACACTGGGTAGAAGTTCGAGCTCTTGTGTGAGTCATCCTTTGATCATGAGAGTTGAAGAGTGTTTAGAGTATAAAAGAGAGAAAACAACCAAAGATAAAGTAAATACATGTATTGTTCACTTATCAACACTTTGATGCTTATGACATTTTTAAGGAAGAGATGTTAGTTAGGACAATGGAAGGAGTCATATTTGTAGGTAGCACTGGAAACCATTAGGCAGAAGTAGCAGAGTGATGCAAGGACATTGAACAGAACATGGCACTCAATCCTTCACTCAGATGAACAAATCTAGTGACATGTGGACACCAGGCTCCTCTACTTCAATGATTAGATGTGCATCATCAAAACCAAATATTCAATAGTTATTTAATGTATGATTGAAAATTGTATTCCGTCATATTTAAGATCATCTCTGACTCTAAGAAGAATAGTGTAAATTCTATAAAGTAGTTGAGGAATGAAGTTTAAACTCCAGGAAATAAATGGAAGGGGCAAGTCCTCCTTCCACAATCTTATTAACAAATCACCATTTCTGGCTCTGGGGCTTAGAGCTCTGAAGTCGCAGGCCCTTCTTGAAAAATAACCTTTCTATTGCTTCCCTCTGAAGAATCTTTTCATAGCCCCCTTTATGTCTTTATTCTTCAGACTGTAGATAAAGGGGTTCAGCATGGGGGTGACCACAGTGTACATCACTGAGGCTGTTGCACTTGTGTGTGAGTTGTGGGTTGCAGCAGAACTAAGGTACACCCCTAAGCATGTACCATAAAATAAGGAGACAACTGAGAGGTGAGATGCACAGGTGGAAAATGCCTTGTATTTCCCCCGAGCTGATGAGATTGCACGTATGGAGGAAACGATCTTAGAGTAAGAGTAAAGGATCCCAGTGAGGGGACCACCGCCCAGCAGTGCTACTGCAAAATACATCACCATGTCATTAACAAAGGTGTCAGAACAGGCAAGGTGGATGACCTGATTAAGTTCACAGAAAAAATGGGGGATTTCCATGTGTGTACAAAAGGGCAGTGACAACACCATTAAGCTTTGTAACAGGGAATTAAGGACACCCATGATCCAGGACGCCAGAAGCAGTAGTCCACAGAGCCTTGGGTTCATGATGACCATGTAGTGCAGAGGGTGACAGATGGCCACATACCGGTCATAGGCCATCACAGTCAGGAGGAAGTTATCCAGCCCTACAAAGAGTAAGAAAAAGTACATCTGGATGATGCAGCCTGCATAGGTGATGACTTTGCTGTGTGTCTGGATGTTCACCAGCATCTTCGGGACAGTGGTAGAGACAAAACACATGTCTACTAAGGACAGGTTGGAGAGGAAGAAGTACATGGGGGTGTGGAGGTGGGAGTCTGAGATTGTGGCCAGGATGAGGAGCAGGTTCCCGAGGATGGTGACCAGGTACATGGAGAAGAACAGCCCAGAGAGGAAGGGCTGCAATTCTGGTTCCTCTGAAATTCCCAGGAGAAGAAATTCTAAAATTATTGTATTGTTCCACAATTTCATTTTGTTGATGTGACTACCAGAGAGAGAAAGAGAGAGAGAGCGAGAGAGAGAGAACATGAAACAGACATGCATTCCAAAACTATCAGAAATGTTATCATTTATATTCCACAGTCAAGAAGTTAATATCTTTTTATTAAAAAATTATTTTTAAGTTAGCAGATAAAATTATATGTATTTATCACATATAACATGATGTGTTTTTAAAAATTTTATTTCGTTTCACGATTACATGTGCAGGTTTGTTACACAGGTAAATTGCGTGTCATGGGGATTTAGTGTACAGGTTATTTCAATACCTAGTAATAAGCATAGTACTTGATAGATTTTTGATCCTTGCCCTCCTCCCATCTTCCACCCTCAAGTAGGTTCCAGTATCTATTGTCTCTTTTTTTTTGAGATGCAGTCTCGCGCTGTTACCCAAGCTGGAGTGCAGTGGTGTGATCTTGGCTCACTGCAATCTCTGCCTCCTGGTTCAAGCGATTCTTGTGCCTCAGCCTCCTGAGTAACTGGGATTACAGGTGGGTACCACCACGCCAATCTAATTTTTGCAGTTTTAGTAGAGACAGGGTTTTGCCATGTTGGCCAGGCTGGTCTTGAACTCCTGACCTCAAGTGATCTGCCCGCCTCAGCCTCCCAAAGTGCTAGGATTACAGGCGCGAGCCATTGCGCCTGGCCTATTCTCTTCTTTGTGTTCCTGTGTACTCAATGTTTAACTCTCATTTCTCTCATTTAGAAGTGAGAAATATGATTTCTTGTTCCTGCTTTAGTTTGCTTAGAATAACGGCTTTTAGCTGCATCCATGTTGCTGCAAAGGACATTATCTTGTTCTTTATTATGGCTTCATAGTATTCCATGGTATATATGTACCATATTTTCTTTATCCGGTCTACTGTGTTTTTTTTTGTTTTTTTGTTTTTTTGTTTTTTTGTTTTTTGAGATGGAGTCTCACTCTGTCGCCCAGGCTGGAGTGTAGTGTCCGGATCTCAGCTCACTGCAAGCTCCGCCTCCCGGGTTTATGCTATTCTCCTGCCTCAGCCTCCCAAGTAGCTGGGACTACAGGCGCCCGCCACCAGGCCCGGCTAATTTTTTGTATTTTTTTTAGTAGAGACAGGGTTTTACCATGTTAGCCAGGATGGTCTTGATCTCCTGACCTCGTGATCCACCCGCCTTGGCCTCCCAAAGCGCTGGGATTACAGGCTTGAGCCACTGTGCCCGGCCTCCAGTCTACTGTTGATGGGCATCTAGGTTGATTCTATGTCTCTGTAATTGTGAACAGTGCTGTGATGAATGTAAGTGTGGGTGTGTCTTTATGGCAGAATAATTTATATTTCTTTGGGTATATACCCAGTAATGGGATTGGTAGGTCAAATGGTTATTGTGTTTTAAGTTCTTTGAGAAATTGCCAAGAGTCTCATATCAGAATCTATAACGAACTTAAACGATTAACAAGCAGAAAACAAACAACCCCATTAAAAAGTGGGCAAAGGACATGAGCAGACACTTCAGGAAAACACATACATGGGGCCAAGAAGCATATTAAAAAATGCTCAACATCCCTAATCATGATAGAAATGCGAATTAAAACCACAGTGAGATACCATCTTACACCAGTCAGAATGGCTCTAATTGAAAAGTCAAAAAAATAACACACACTGCTGACGTTGTAGAGAAAAGGTGGGAATGTGATTAGTTCAACCCCTGTGGAAACCCGTTTGGTGATTTCTCAAAGAACTTAAAACATGATGTGTTGAACTATAAATACATTGTGGAACGGTGAAATCTAGCTAATTAACATCTACATGACCTCAAATTGTCATCTTAATTATGGGCTTAATTGTCCTTAATTGACCTTAATTGTCATCTTAATTATGGGCTTATGCCCATAATTGTTATTACGGGCATAAGCCACCTTGACTGGCCAAGTTCTGGTCTTTTAATTACGAGTTGCCTTTTGGAATATATTGGTCCCAGGTTCTTTTCTTCTGAAAATTCCTCTCACCCTAGAGGTGCATGCAGACACACACACACATACACACACACACACACACACACACACTGCCTACACGTGCATCACATCGTGGCCTCCTGGGGCTGTGTTACTCCTATGCTCTTCTCACCCCTAGTCTCACTATTAGAAAGGAATGGAGACCAGGCACGGTGGCTCAAGCCTGTAATCCCAGCACTTTGGGAGGCTGAGGCAGGCAGATCACCTGAGGTCAGGAGTTTGAGACCAGCCTGACCAACATGGTGAAACCCTGTCTCTACTAAAAATACAAAAATTAGCCGGGCGTGGTGGTGCGCACCTGTAATCCCAGCTACTTGGGAGGCTGAGGCAGGAGAATTGCTTGAACCTGGGAGGCAGAGGTTGTAGTGAGTCGAGATCACGCCACTGGACTCCAGCCTGGGTGACAGAGCGAGACTCCATCTCAAAAAAAAAAAAGGATACCAGGCACATTTCAATATCAAATTATTTTTCCCCAAGAGCATATACAAATGATACACAGAAATTCCAGTTTGGAAGTCTCCCATGCACATGTAGCCATGAGGCTATATTTTGGTATGGCCATTTTCTGCCTTATTTTTAAAGAAATATTTTGTAAAAATCTGCCCAATAAACATAGAGAAAGGAGAATTAATTGGCCACATTTTCTTTATCCAGTCTATCATTGATGACTTGGAACCAACCCAATAATTTATATTTAATAATTTATATAATTGCTCATTGGACGAATCCAATGAGCACACTCTAGTCCTTGTGCTGATCTTCCTCTAACATGCAAAGGCGTCCCCATGCCACACGATAAAATCCAGCATGCACCATAATAATTCTGTCCTTTTCCACTGATTAAAATTCGGGATATGATTTCTCCCTGAAGACACCGTCATGCACACATTTATTATATTGTACTGTGTCTTCACTGTTATAATGCAAGATCCAAATAAACAGAAACTACACCTGCTCTGTGTACTTTCGCATTTTCACAAAAGTATGTAAATATGTGTGCGTTATATGGAAAAAAATTAAAGCAAGGAGAGGTTATGAAATACAAAGAATGCCAGAGGAGTAAAGTCAGGTTAAATGTAGTGATTCCAGGGCCGGGTGCAGTGGCTCACACCTGTAATCCCAACACTTTGGGAGGCCGAGGCTGGTGGATCACGAGATTGAGACCAGCCTGGTCAACATGGTGAAACCCCATCTTTACTAAAAATACAAAATTTAGCTGAGCATGGTGGCACGCGCCTGTAATCCTAGCTACTCGGGGGGCTGAGGCAGGAGAATTGCTTGAACCCAGGAGGTGGAGGTTGCAGTGAGCCAGAATTGCGCCACTGATCATGCCACTGCACTGCAGCCTGGGCAACAGAACAAGACTCAAGACTCCATTTCAAAAAAAAAAAGGTGAAAATGGTGATTATATATTATATATGAATTTTGCTTAAACCAAGCAATAGTTTAGGGCAACAAGAAATCTCTGTCACACCTATCAGCCTGGGAAAAAACTTAAGGAGCTACCACATTGAGTAGGGTTGGAACTTATAAATCGGGAGAAAAGGGAAACTCTCCAATTTTGCTGCCATAAATGTGAAGTGATACACCTGGATACAGCTATAAATACTAAAAATACTCAGATATTCATTCACTTGATTTCTCAATCTCAGCACTACTTAAATTCTCAGCCAGATTATTTATTGTGGTGGGGTCTGTCCCTGTTGTCTACTGACCTTTCACAGGGTGAAAGCCAGATATGTCATTGCTCAGTGTCCCCAGGGGGACAAAATCATGCTGCCCACTCAAGTGAGAATGACAATTTTAACATAAAAATTCCAAAATGTGGGAGGCCGAGGTGAGCGGATCATGACGTCAGGAGGAGTTTGAGACCAACCTGGCCAACGTGGTGAAATCCCGTCTCTACTAAAAATACCAAAATTAGCCCGGCATGCTGGCATGGGCCTGTAATCCCAGCTACTTCGGGAGGCTGAGGCAGGAGAATCACTTGAACCCAGGAGGTGGAGGTTGCAGTGAGTTGAGATTGTGCCACTGCACTCCAGCCTGGGCGACAGAGCGAGACTCTGTGTTAAAAAAAGAAAAAAGAAAAAATGCCCTCACTTCCGTTCATACCCCCCATAGCTAATACCCTACTTCTCTTTTCCACTTAATTGCAGTGATTCTTGGGCAGATGTTCTGCTTTCACTGGAACTACTTTAGAACCCACATTTTCTCTTCTAATTGGGCTTTTATTATCCTTACTTGATTGTCATCTATCACTCTCCATTGCTGAGTTCAACATGCACTTCCCTTCTTAGCATCGTAAATAAAGATACAAATCAATTCGTTCACCAAGCAAATACCCACAGCAGCCTCTTTACTCTGGTGTCGAAAGAACTAAATGACAAATGCCAAAATTGGCAAAAACTGCAATGCTTATATGTTAAAGAAAGCAGTAAAAAAAACATGAATGAAATCACTTTGAATGCATCATACAAAAGCCAAGAATTTCCATAGACAATTTCCAATAGAGTGATACTAAAAACAACTGCACTAAAATATAGCATATTTGTGATATGCATAGGATTCTGTCTATGCATTTGTATAAATGCTGTATGAGTACAAAAGTGTGCATAATATAGAAAGAGAAGTTTTAAAAGAAACGAACTTATACAACAAGGAATGGCAGTTAACATGCAATTAGGTTAAGCACAGAGGTTTCAAAACAACTGTATAAAGCAACATAGAATGAAAATCTGAAAAAAAATTTAATATAATCATACAAAATATTAATAATTTAATAACATCAAAATGGGTTACAAATTGTAAGATTAAACTGCCAGTCATGGAAACTAAAGAATATGACAGGAAGCCTTTTAAAATTATCTGGGCATGGTGGTTGGCACCTGTAATCCCAGCTACTCGGGAGGCTGAGGCAGGAGAGTCACTTGAACCCGGGAGGTGGAGGTTGCAGTGAGTTGAGATTGTGCCACTGCACTCCAGCCTGGGTGACAGAGTGAGAT